TAATACCGAAATGTGAATATTTTAAACACAATTTTATCGCTTTGTAGAAGTCAAGTGACTTACCTGCCAACATGGCTGCATTCTGTTTCATTGTAAAGCAAGCCAGCTGATTTTACCTCATTTTATAGGAGAGTGCCTAATACACCAATTAGGTTGGTCCATTTTGCTAGAATGGACCTGCCCAATACATTTGCATGAGTGGTCTTTATTCACCCATATATTTCTCCATGAAATGACTCAAGTTAGTCTTAGCTTTGGCTACACTTGCCGACTTGTGTGTTAGACCACTGGGAATCTAACCAATATACTACACGCTTCAGTTAAATATATATTATAAAGAGTATTGTTAGTTGGTTGAATTTGTTTAGCGGCATATCAAAATCTCTATGGGTTATTTAATGCCGAAATCTAAATATTTTAAACACAATTTTATGGCTTCAGCTAAATATATTTTTAATGCAATTGTATGCGTTTAATTACGGATAAAATGTATTGTTGTTTATTTTTCTATGAAAATATCTCTTATTATTTTACTAAAAAAGCTGTTGGTAATTTTAGTATAAATAGATATTGTTGATAATCTTACTATGCAAATATGTATTGCTTGCATTTTTTCTATAAAAATATATTTTTATTCTTTCATAGTGTTTTCTTTTTTATTTTAGGATTCACTATTTGCCTATAGATGGGGTTCTAAAAGGGGTTACCACTCCTCGTCATGGTGAACCTAGGAAAAACTGCAATTAAGAGGTGGTTACCCGCTCCTCAAAACCTCTAATCTCCTGACCAGAGGCCTTGCTGGATGTAGTTTAACGTCATAGAACGAAAGAATAATTTTGAACTACATTAACATACCTTAGTATTTACACGGTAATAGCAGCGTACATTGTGGATTAAAGGGAAATAATTTCAAATAATTCTCTATAATAAGGTAAGGCCGCATAGCAATGCTTCTCAAACGTTTCTTGCTTTTCAGGTCCACATAAACACAAATAGAAATTTCATATAACTGCCGGGTGGAGTTTGTCGTCATACCCAGGACTAAAAAAGCTATTACAAGAAAGAACATTATTCCAGGTACCGACGTTGAACTTTTGAAAATGGCTTGCTTTCTCCCAGAATTCAATAACAAGTTTATTAATTGTAAGAAGAAATCTTGGAATCAAAAAGGCATCCCCCAAATGTGGGGCTTATCACGCACTTCAGCACAATGGAAACAAAAGGGTTGCACTCAAGAACCCCACACAGACAGAGCTATCTCAATTGGATTCATTACGAAATTATATTAACTATTAATTATTAATATTAATATTAATTAATTAATTATTATTAATTAATTAATATCATTAATATTATCATTATTAATATTATATTAATATATATATTATTATAATTAAAAATAATGATTCCTAAGGACATTATATTAATTATTAATATTAATTATTATTAATTAATTAATATCATTAATATTATTTTAATATTATATTAATGTATATTACTATTATTATTATTATTATATATTATTTTATTTATGTAATGAAATAGTAGATAAAGGTGGGATAAATAAAGAAGAAGAAGAAGAAAGAAGAAGAAGAAGAAGAAGAAGAGAAATAAAAGAAGAAGAAATAGTAGATAAAAGAAGGAGAAATAAAAGAAGAAGAAGAAGAAGAAGAAGAAGAAGAAGAAGAAGAAGAAGAAGAAGAAGAAATAGTAGATAAAGGTGGGAGAAATAAAATAGAAGAAGAAGAAGAAGAAGAAAAGTAGATAAGAAGAAAATAGTAGATAAAAGAAGAAGAAAGAAGAAAAAGAAGAAGAAGAAGAATAACAAATAGATAAAGGTGGGAGAAATAAAATAGAAGAAGAAGAAGAAGAAGAAAGAAGAAGAAATAGTAGATAAAGGTGGATAAAAATAAAGAAGAAGAAGAAGAAGAAGAAGAAGAAGAAGAAGAAGAAGAAGAAGAAGAAGAAGAAGAAGAAGAAGAAATAGTAGATAAAGGTGGAGAAATAAAATAGAAGAAGAAGAAGAAGAAGAAGAAGAAGAAGAAGAAGAAGAAGAAGAAGAAGAAGAAGAAGAAATAGTAGAGAAGAAGAAGAAGAAGAAGAAGAAGAAGAAGAAGAAGAAGAAGAAGAAGAAGAAGAAATAGTAGATAAAGGTGGGAGAAATAAAATAGAAGAAGAAGAAGAAGAAGAAGAAGAAGAAGAAGAAGAAGAAGAAGAAGAAGAAGAAGAAGAAGAAGAAATAGTAGATAAAGGTGGGCGAAATAAAATAGACGAAGAAGAAGAAGAAGAAGAAGAAGAAGAAGAAGAAGAAGAAGAAGAAGAAGAAATAGTAGATAAAGGTGGGAGAAATAAAATAGAAGAAGAAGAAGAAGAAGAAGAAGAAGAAGAAGAAGAAGAAGAAATAGTAGATAAAGGTGGGAGAAATAAAATAGAAGAAGAAGAAGAAGAAGAAGAAGAAGAAGAAGAAGAAGAAGAAGAAGAAGAAGAAGAAATAGTAGATAAAGGTGGGAGAAATAAAATAGAAGAAGAAGAAGAAGAAGAAGAAGAAGAAGAAGAAGAAGAAGAAGAAGAAGAAGAAGAAGAAGAAATAGTAGATAAAGGTAAAATAAAGAAGAAGAAGAAGAAGAAGAAGAAGAAAATAAAAAGAAGAAGAAGAAGAAGAAGAAGGGAGAAATAAAAAAAATAAAGAAGAAGAAGAAGAAGAAGAAGAAGAAGAAGAAGAAAAGTAGATAAAGGTGGGAGAAATAAAATAGAAGAAGAAGAAGAAGAAGAAGAAGAAGAAGAAGAAGAAGAAGAAGAAGAAGAAGAAATAGTAGATAAAGGTGGGAGAAATAAAATAGAAGAAGAAGAAGAAGAAGAAGAAGAAGAAGAAATAGTAGATAAAGGTGGGAGAAATAAAATAGAAGAAGAAGAAGAAGAAGAAGAAGAAGAAGAAGAAGAAGAAGAAGAAGAAGAAGCAGCGGCATTTCAGTTGTTCCAACATTTGCTGCAACAAAACTGATTCTTAAAATTACCATGACAACATTATTAATAAAGAATGAATTTCTGCTTGCTCTTGCATTTCTTGGACGCTAATGACTTTTCAAAATTCATGAATATGTATCTACGCTGGGAATATTATTTTTTTTTCTTTTGTTATATGAAGAAGGCAACGCGAGAGTGTTAAAGTCGTTCTTCTTAGAGTACTTTGAAAAAAAAAAAAAGAAGGAAAAGAAAAATATTGATCTCTCAGGGGCAGGTAATCGCGTTCTGTCAAGCTTCGTATCATTTACAAGTCATTTTCTATAGGGTTTCTTTACTACATGATCTTCAGAATTGCCACGCTTAATTATTCATGAACGTTTGATTGATTGCTTGCCTTGTGCAACCATGTATTCGAAAACCTTGCTTTTTCAAGAGAGACTCCAAAAGAGTCTCTTTTGAAATTCATTTGAACATCGCCTCGCCAAACGGAATAATCAGAAGCAGATAGATAAGAAAATTATACTTAACCAATCTTTTACTCTCTGGGTAATATATATATATATATATATATATATATATATATATATATATGAAAGAAAAATATACGGAAAAAACAAACCTTATATACAATTATGCTGTTTTAATGTTAATATGTCAACGTCGGACGTTTCGGTCTAATAAACCATCTTCAGGACATATTCATAAGATATAATTAACATTATCAATTCAACATGACAAAGACGATGTACATAAGAACAAGACTTATCCAATTCAGTTATCTGTAGAAGCAGCACAAACACGGCTTGTTAATACATTCCCAGAGTGATTGAATTCACGCACACATACACATGCACCTAAGTGAATGTAACGGATTGGACTGGAATTCGAACTCGGCTTTCCAATTCCTCAATACGTGTCGCTATCCATTACGCCACCGTGTCTTGGATTTCGATACAAAAGGATTCTCCCACATTAGGTAAAAAGGCTTTATCAGTTTATATTGCAATTTTCTAATTCTTATTTATGTGAATTACGCTTATCAACCCTAAATAACATGAAAAATAAGAAATGAGAAAGACTACGCTCAACTGAAGAAGAAATGAGGGTCTGCTTATCATCCATCGATACATTTTGGATTTCAATACAAAAGGAATATCCCACATTAGGTAAAAAGGCTTTATCGGTTTATATTGCAATGTTCTACTTCTTATTTATGTGAATTACGCTTATCAACCGTAAATAACATTAAAAATAAGAAGCGAGAAAGACTACACTCAACTGAAGAAGAAATGAGGGTCTGCTTATCATCCATCGATACATTTTGGATTTCAATACAAAAGGAATATCCCACATTAGGTAAAAAGGCTTTATCGGTTTATATTGCAATGTTCTACTTCTTATTTATGTGAATTACGCTTATCAACCGTAAATAACATTAAAAATAAGAAGCGAGAAAGACTACACTCAACTGAAGAAGAAATGAGGGTCTGCTTATCATCCATTGATACATTTTGGATTTCAATACAAAAGGATATATTCCACATTAGGTAAAAAGGCGTTATCAGTTTATATTGCAATGTTCTACTTCTTAAGAAATGAGGGTCTGCTTATTGCACATTTGACCATTGAAGAAATCGTGAAAAAACACCAAGTCTCACAGTAAATAAGCTGCAGAAATGGTTGAATAGAAATATGGAGATAAAATATGTCCATATTTGTGCGTTTTTTAATCTATGTTTTTATTTCATAACATTTAAATGCATATCATTTACAATTTTTGCTAAATGTGCCATGATATTTTCATTTGCTTTTAGGTGTGCCGTTGCTTAAAAGGGTTGAGAGACAATGTGCTTAACTATTGAAAATCTAATTCATAATAACCATAAGTGTTTAATAATAGGTGCAAAATTTGATATAGGGCAGGGTAGATTTAGCTATTTGGGTTTGAAGGAAGCGTGTAAAATTCACTGGGTGCAAAGAACGAAAGATAAAAAAAAAAATAAGACAGAAAGAAGAAAAAAGGAAAGAGAAACGATCTACAGAAAGAAAGAAAGAAAGAAAGAAAGAAAGAAAGAAAGAAAGAAAGGAAGAAAGAAAGAATGAAAGAAAGAAACAATGTAAAGACTAGGTAAATAGAAAGAAAGAAAGAAAGAAAGAAAGAAAGAAAGAAAGAAAGGATTAATTAAAATAAACGAAAGAAAGAAAGACGAAAGAAAGAAAGAAAGAAAGAAAGAGAGGAAGGAATGAAGGAAGGGAAGGAAGGGAGGGAGGAAAAAGGAAATAATAAAATAAATGAAAGAACTGAAAAAAGAAAGAAGGAAGAAAGAAAATGAATGAAAGAAAAGAAGAAATAAAAAAGAAAGAAGAAAGAAAGACAATAAGTGAAAGAAAGGAAGAAAAAAAGAAAGAAAGAAAAGGTAAAAGAAAGAAGAAAAAATGTTGAAAAAAGGAAAAAAGAAAGGAAGAAACAGAAAGAAAAAACGAAGACAGAAAGAAAAAAGAAAGAAAAGAAATGAAAGAAAAGAAGAAGAAAAAGAGGGAAGGAAAAGGAGAGATGGAAGAAAGACAATAAATGAAAGAAAGGAAGAAAAAAGAAAGAAAAAGGAAAGAAAGAATAAAGTAAGAAAGACAAAAGGAAGAAAAACGAAAAAGAAAGAAAATAAAGGAAAGAAAGGAAGAAAGAAAGGAAGAAAAAGAAACAAAAAGAAAGAAAAAAAGAAAGAAATGAGAAGGGAGAAAAAGAAATAAGAAAGAAAGAAAGAAATTAAATGAAAGAAATGTAGCATAAAGAAAGAAAGAAAGAAAGAAAGAAAGAAAGAAAGAAAGAAAGAAAGAAAGAAAGAAAGAAACAAACAAGGCAATATGCGGGAGTGAGGAGGGGGGAAATTATAACAAAAGCAATGAATGCTGGGTAAGTTAAAAAACAGAAAACGAAGAAGAAAAAAAAAGGAAAGACAAGAAAATCTCTCATAAAAAAAAGGAAGGAAAAGAAGAAAAAAACATGAAGTAAATATGTCGGGAGAAGTAAAAAAAAAAAAAAGGTTAAATCCAACAAGAGAAAGAAGGAATGAGAAACAGATAGAAAAATGTCTGGAAAATAAGATGACATTATTTATACGTTGATTATGTTTAAAAAATATTGTTGATGAGGTTATATAGTAAATGAATTGAAAGCTTTTGTCTAGACTCTTTAATAACGGAAGAAGAACGGCCATTTTTATCATATCAAGAATTGGTAATTAGTCTAGATTTAGAAATGTGACAAAATTGGGCAACTATAATACTAGTTAATAAGCAAAAGTTATTATAACTTATCCTTTCAGGTAATTGAAGTCAGATTACTTTGTTTTCATCTCGAGAAATTCTGGCTTATTCGGCAATAATTCAATGTGAATCACAACAGACCGTCTACAGGTTTCTTTTCAATCAGTTTATTTTGCAGTATGAAGCATTATAAACATCATTTATTGATATATATATATATATATATATATATATATATATATATATATATATATATATATATATATAGTTTATGCAAATTTAGGGTAATCCGTATGGGTAGACCTGAGGAGGATGATATCCAGAGAGCTCAATGTAAAATTCAGAGCAGATATGTTTGAATAAAAGACAGACCACGTTAAGATTCCATGTAATAAGTTATTTCACCATAACCCTTTAATAGGGTTCTGGATCATCAGACTTACTTCCAAAAGCTGAAATGAAAAATGAAAAGAAATTCACACGTTTTTTACGGACCTCATCAAGTATACGCAAAGTTAACGAAGTGAGGAAGTGAGGTGGGTGAGAGGATATGAGTGTGTCATATGTATCATTTTAGTTTCCTATTTTAACCCCAGTGTGTCGGCTGGATGTTGCTCAAATCTAACGCGTCTCGTCTCTAGATAAAGGTGGTTAAGGGGTGAGCGATAAGGACTACATTAAGGAAGACGTTACAATAACCCCAATAAATTACACGACAGGTTTCATTCAAATTCTAATTTGAATTAATTTGTGTATATATAAATATAAATGTATATAATTTTTATATATATTCCACCGAATTTCAAATTAATTTCTTCGTAGATTGTTTTAAAATTTAGATATTTATCAAACCTTAACCTCCCAAATATGCACGTTAAAGTAACGCGAACTGACAGCGTCTAAGTAAAGTCTGATGATCCAGAACCCTATTAAAGGGGTTATGGTGAAATAGCTTATTACATGGAATCTTAACGTGGTCTGTCTTTTATTCAAACAAATATATATATATATATATATATATATATATATAGTTTCACATTCCCTCCCCCACTATCATATAAACAACGATATACGCAACCATATATAAATCCAAAATTTAAAAATTAATCAGTTTGTCTGACGATCGCAAAAGACATGAAACCCATGAAAATATAAATATATATATATATATATATATATATATGAAAATATATAGAAAATAGGAAGAACCCGTTAGGTAAAATAATCCAAAGTTCTTTTAGTATTTTTGTTATTATTTTTAAAAAATAGTGCTCGATACAAAAGTAGAGCATAAATATAATTATGTATATAAAAATATGATTCCAACACGCTACATAAGAGTTCTCATGTTTCAAAACAAGAGCCGAAAACTTCAATATAATTATTTGAATTAAATTGAATTAAAGTACTAAGCTCTGTTCCATCTTCAAGCGAAATTTTTTGGGAATAACTTATTTCTGAAATGTACGTGTTTTAATAGCATATTCATTATTGAAATCAAAATTCCCATGGTAACGGCCAGCGCGATTGTTCATATAGAGAGGGGCTCAGGGTGTTAATAATTTGTATCAATATCTCAGTTACATTCACAGATGTCAAGTCAGGGTAAGGTTGGTGTGTCTAAATTTAAAGCGGAAGATGACATCGTCTAGTCTGGTTAAGTGTCTATGGAGATTTATTTATTTTTTTATTTTATTTTTTATTTTTTTCTGAAAGGGTTTTGTGTATATAAAAACTGTCGTAAATCGCTAGCATTTGTTTTTTGACGACTTCATAAAGGTTTATCTTTTTTTGTAGGGTATTTAAACTATTTATTAGGACTATGGATTTTTAAAATTATTTTATTGTTTGTTTGTTTTATGCTAATTATTCAATGCAAAAATTTGATGGTGTCGACAAAAAACCGTTAACGCATGACTGTTTTTTAATAGATTTTTATTATTTAGAAACTTAATAATGTGTAGTTTTTCATGTAGGCATAAAGGGCATGGGTCATCCCAAGTTTTACAAGTTCTAGTTTTGTTTATAATTTTCCATTATATTTCTAGAACTTATAAAACTAATATTTTTGTTTAATTATATTGAAGTTTTTGGCTCTTGTTTTGAAACATGAGAACTCTTATGTAGCTTGTTGGAATCATATTTTTAAATAAATAATCATATATATATATATATATATATATATATATATATATATATATGTGTGTGTGTGTATGTGTGTGTGTGTGTGTGTGTGTGTGTGTGTATGGAAAGTGCCTGAAAAATATACCAGGTGTTGACCCACGCCTTGTCATTGAAATTGGGTAGACGCGACACTTGGGGACTGTCGATAGCTGTGCTAGCACGAAATCACAAGTCATCGTGACCGAGGTTTTAAGTGTGTTGGCCTTTTTTCAGATTGTTGATCATGCTAGATAACACGCTCTCTCCCAGAAATTGTAACTAAGGTCTGCTCAGCATAGTTTCAGTATAAACCATTGGTTGGCTCTGTGTATGAACAAGCACAAATGTGCCTGAGGGAGCGTCTGTAATAGGGATTAGCTAGTCGCCCTAATAGACTGCTATCTTCGAATACGAGTGGTCAGCTATTATTATTACATACATACATACATGCATACATACATACATATATATATATATCTGTGTGTGTGTATATATATATATATATATATATATAAACACACATACATACATGCACATATATATACATACATACATACATACATACATACATACATATAAGGAGATGGGAGTGTGACACAGTGCAAAAGTTATCCAGTGACGCGTTTTCTCATTTAGAACAAAATGCTTTCTTTCATATATATATATATATATATATATATATATATATATATATATATATATATATATATATATATAAGTGAACTATAAGTGAACATTGAAACCACACTCACAGGCGACAGGCTGTTTCATTTTTCAAATTTCTCAAGTCTAGTAATTGTTCTCGCTCTTTCCAGTTTTGTCACTTGGTACGCCCCCCCACCTGTTAATTGGCTTGCAAATTTGTTTTTTTTTTCTTTTCTGTCTTTGATAATACTGTCTGGGCGATTTGCTTGTATTATTCGTACTGAATTTACAGAAAAAAAAAAGAAAGAAAGGTAACATCATCTCCCGTAACTAAAGATTCAGGTTGATGTGATTAACAGTTTGCAGCTGGTTTCATTCTATGCTGATGACAGAGCTTCAAATTATTATGATTATTATTATTATTATTATTATTGTTGTTGTTGTTGCTGTTTTTATTTCCTTTGATTTCTGGCGTCTACACATTTCTTTCCGGGTCCTGCCCAGGGACCTAAGGTTAGAAATGGCAGCATGACACTTTCCACTGATGAAAACAAAAAAAAAAAATACCCCCCCCCCCAAAAAAAAAACCCACATATTTTACATAAAGCCCTTCTTTAAGTGTGGGCTGTACTTGTCAGAACAATTTTTTGTATCTCTTTGAGGCATGGACTTCCAGGAATCCCTTCAATTTGTCTACTGGAATCTTTTCCAACCAATGCTAGGGCTCCAACTACAACAGGGATTGTTGATGTGCCACATTTTTGAGATTTCGATTTCAAGGTCCTTTTTTTTTGCCAGCTTTTTGAATATCTTCAAAGATACATTACAGCCTGCTGGGATTGCCATATCAATAAGGAGGCACTTTTTTGTTTGTGGTCTTTAATAACAATATCTGGGCGGTTGGCCTTGATTGTTCTGTCAGTGTGTATTGTGTAGTCCCATAGAATTGTAACAGGTCCTATCTCCGTAACCGGATCTGGGTGGTGTTCATACAAATTTTCTAGTGCAGACACTAGCCCACTCTCTCTCATTCCGGGTTTTATACTCACTGGGTGCCAATATCGTACAACCTGATACAAGATAATCAACTGTTTCTGGATATTTATCACAGAATCTGCATTTTGAGCTTACACAATATTTTAGGGTATGTTCTTGATAATTGCTAGTTAGAAATGCATTGGTCCTGTGCAGCAAGGATAAAACCTTAAATTTCCGCTTTCAACCCTGCACTACGTAGCCACTGATTGGTTACCAGGTTTTGTGTACGTCAACATTTTGGTACATGGCAGAGCATTGGCCATGAAGCGATTTATCTTGCCATTGTTTCTGTATCTGGTCGGTAGCATTTGTCTTTGCTTTCTTTTTCAAGTATCTATCTATCTATCTATCTATCTATCTATCTATCTATCTCAAACTGCTCATTATCTTATATATATATCTAATAGCTGGGTGGGGAGAAGAAGGGGAGTCATACCTTTCCCAAGGGTATTAGCATGTAAGTGAATGTAATGGATTCGACTGGAATTCGAACTCGGCTCTCCGATCCTGCAGTTCGAGCCGCTATCCACTGCTTCTCTTCTACAATTTTTACAATTAGGTGTGAGTATTGAGCACCCTGAGATATGGTGATCAAAAGTCTCAATGTATTGGTAACATAACCTACGTTTCTTTTGTGTCTTTGATAATAATGTCCGGGCGACTTGTTTGTATTCTTCAGGCTGTGTCGATAGAAAAAAACGACAGGATCTCTCTCTCAGCTACAGATTTAGGATGTATCTGTCTATATTTCTGAGATGAGGTATTATGTTGTTATAGATTAGTTTCACAGTGGAGGCTTGTATTTCACTAAGTCGGTCCTAAAAAGGTTCGACGTACAAAACGTTAGGAACTTGATATAAGAGGTAATGACGCAGCAATCTAGTTGTGGTGGTTGATACTTTAATGTCCGACATCGACTGACTCACTCAACTCACTGGCTCAACTGGCGAATGCTACTACTCCTACTTATTATAGGTGGAAGAGTCTATTAACTATAGAATAGGTATGTTCCAGTATAACATATGTACACTATTTACATTATTCGGACTATTGTACTCATCATTGTCGCCATATTATTACGACGTTTCGACCGTTGTACGTTCCGGCCTTCTTCAGGCGTAGACTGTTCTAGTTCTACGTGCCAAGGACACATGGCACAGTGGATATAAACGTCAGTGACAGGACCCAAAAAGTGTGAGTTCAATACCCGGTTAAGGCAGTGGAGAACTTGGAGAGGGGAATTAATAGGAGATAATTGACACGTGACATCCATTAAACATGGCACGTGGAACTAGAACAGTCTACCCCAGTGAGCGAAATAACGGGTTCAGTTTGACATTCCAAGCACCTGATGAAGGCCGGAGCGTTCAACGGCCGAAACGTTATAATAAATATGGTGACAAAGATGAAGACAATAGTCCGAATAATGAGATTTATGATGATGTTAACATAACAGTTTCCAGCTGTTTTTTTTTTTATCCCGTAGGCCGGTTTTGAATTCAAAGTTTTTCCTTCTCCTAGACCGGTTGCCACCCAAGAAGAAGAAGAAGCTGTTTAGAAGCAACTACAAATATAATATCTTGAAGAAAAGAATTCATATCTTTCCCAAGTGTATTAGCACGTAAGTGAATGTATCCGACTGGAATTCGAACTCGGCTCTCCGATTCCTCAATCCGATCCGCAATCCATTACTCCACCGTGCCTCTTCAGACCAGAAGAGTTGGATTCATGCCTTTCCCAAGGGTATTAGCACGTAAGTGAATGTAATGAACTCGACTGGAATTCGAACTCGTCTTTCCGATTCCTCAATCCGAGCCGTAATCCATTACTCCACCGTGCCTCTTCAGACCAGAAGAGTTGGATTCATGCCTTTCCCAAGGGTATTAGCACGTAAGTGAATGTAATGAACTCGACTGGAATTCGAACTCGTCTTTCCGATTCCTCAATCCGAGCCGTAATCCATTACTCCACCGTGCCTCTTCAGACCAGAAGAGTTGGATTCATGCCTTTCCCAAAGGGTATTAGCACGTAAGTGAATGTAATGAACTCGACTGGAATTCGAACTCGTCTTTCCGATTCCTCAATCCGAGCCGTAATCCATTACTCCACCGTGCCTCTTCAGACCAGAAGAGTTGGATTCATGCCTTTTCCAAGGGTATTAGCCCGTAAGTGAATGTAATGTATCCAACCGGAATTCGAACTCGGCTCTTCGATTCCTCAATCCGAGCCGCTATCCATTACTCCACCGTGCCTCCTCTGTGCAATACTTTTCCACTAACTTTATGCAATTAGGTGTGAGTAATAACTATCCTGAGATAAGATGATCAATAGTTTCAATATATTGTTTAAAGAACCTACATTTTCGGTTCGTACTATTATATTAGTAGTTACTTGTAAACACATTCTGGTTCTGTGCAGCAAAACAAAATCCTTCATTTTCATCCTTAACTCCTAAAATCATTAGTCACTGGTGGGTTGCGAATTGACCTGCAGGGTTTTCCAAACGTCACGCGACAATTTGCAGAAAACATACTCTTGCGAAACATCAACCAGAGAAAAAATTGCTTGACATCATCTTCTATAATTCGGCCATTAAAATATCTTAATGCATTATCACGTACAGAAAGATGATTCCATTTGGTAAATAAATATAAAATTGACAAGGTTATCAATGCTAATGTGACTTTTCGAGCACACTGTACATGAAGACTTTTGCTTCGGAGAAAGAAACTGGTTATATAGAGCAGGGGTCGGCAACCTATGGCACGCGTACCACACGTGGCACGCAAGCCAATTTCCCAATGGCACGCAGCCGCAAATGACGTCACGAAGTCCGAACCAATAACTACCACAACGGAAAGAAGATATTTCTCTAATTCAATTTTAATATATACTTAAGTATATATACTATAAATTACTATATAAAATCTTGGAGTCTGTAAAAGTCAATTATTAAGAGGAGACAATTGCTGCCATATATGGTCTGGTGCCCCTTCTGTTTGCCTCGGGGTTCTTGATAGGCTCCAGAGGCGGATTTGCAATGTGGTTGGCCCTGCTCTGGCGTCTCGTCTACAGTCACTTTCTCACAGACGCGCCGTCGCCTCCCTCTGTCTCCTCTACAAATACTTTCATGGAAATTGCTCCGAGGAGCTGCATTCGCTGGTTCCCAGACGTCATGAGTTCAAGCGCCTTACGAGGCTGGCATCCCGCTCTCACCCTTTCACTGTCGAAACTCCGAAATGTAGCCGTCTCTTCTAGTCCAATAGCTTCATGTCTCGCACCTCTCGCCTGTTTCCTGTTTCCCTTTCCTATTCCAGTTTCCCAGAGAGCTATAATCTCCAACTATTAAAATGTAATGTCAATCGACATCTCCAGTTGCCTTGATCTATCCACTACCCTTCTCCTCATCCTTTCTTCTATCATTCCTATCTGATCTTGCTCTAAATTTTCTGTAACCCCTTGCGGCCTAATGGCTTCTAGCCTTGCTTGGGGTGAAATGCTTAAAAAAAAAAAGAAAAAAAAAAGATATATTGACCTTGACGTATATAAAATTACGTATGCTGTTGGCACAGTGAATGATTTTAAAACCCTGTCGGCACATAGCAAAAGGTTGCTGACCCTTGCCTATTCCTTTATATATTAGTTTAAGGCAAGTACATTGAAATCAAGGGTTTTAGTGTACTTGTGACTTCGTGTTAGGCCGAGTACAATAAAAGCTACAACGCAGAAGATATTTCGCTGTTCTAAAAGTGCTCACTCGTTAGACTCCGATTAATAATAAAAACTTTAAAAAGAAACTTTTAAAAACAGTTTATTTCTATTAATGTGGTTTACATATTATTGTATAAATTACTATATAAAATATATTGTAGAACAGTTATATTGACCTTGACTTGTATAAAAATACGTATGCTTTTGGTACACTGAATGATTTTAAAACTCTAAGTCAGCACATAGCAAAAGGTTTGCCGATCTCTGATGGAGATGATTTGGACTCCAGTTATATTAAAGCATACAAAACAGAATTTAGGGTACAGTTACTATCTTTGTGAGTTTTCGATCTTTGCTCAGTGACCCACATATGTCTCTCTATGCCGGATTATTTTAAGTTATGTAAGTACCTATGAGGCTTGCCAGGAGGTGACGGTTTATCAAGCTCATTTCACAGATCATTCTTATGAGTTTGAACCTCACTAGGTGACGTACACATACACGTATGGATTTAATAATTAGCAAGTTTCATACCTTCTTTGGTTTAGTGAAGTCCTACTAAACTAGGATGAGGAAACGATTTAATCCATTATGGCAGGGGGCGGCAACCTACGGCACGCGTGCCACATATGGCACGCCAGGCAATTTCCAATGGCACGCAGCCGCAAATGACATCACGAAGTCTGAAACAATAACTACTACAACACAAAGAAGATATTTAACTGTTTCAATTTTAATATATGCTAAAGTATCTATACTATATATTACTATATAAAATACTAGCAGCATGGTCTGCCCGTGCTTGATTCAAAAATCGTACGACTCATACAGCAATAGCTATCACTTGACTTAAAATATTTTTGCCCTTCCTTGCCTTTAGAGGAGTGCCCTTTGCCGTGCTGATGTTGTTACATGCCTTACTTCTTGCCTATATCACACTGCCAACTTTTTCTAAGCTCTATAGTAAACATTAAATCTGTTACGAAAAAAGAACGAAACAAAATAAACACAATACGATCAGCTTAAAAAAACCGGAAAAAAAACAATTTTAAGGGTTGACCGATTGTCGATTTGCACTCTGTTTGGGGGGGTGCTCAGAGTTGAAACTTCACATGATGACTCCCAATGGCCTCTTCATAAATCCGCCCGGTTTTCGCTAAAAACCGATATGCGGTTCAGACGCAATCTGGGCGTATCGGTTTTGGGGTTTTATCGATTTCCCGCGCTGTTTAGGGGTCCGTGGTCATGAAACTTCTGGACAACACTTCTAATGGTAGACTCTAAGAGGGTGTCAAATTTGGTTGAAATGCGATCATTCCTTCTGTAAGCAGAATCTTTTCGATTATCGATTTTTTCGGAACCTGCTTCCGAATTCAAAAATCGGGCTCTGTCATGTCCTTACGGCAGCCATTTGCAAACTTGTGTTGAAAACCGCATCAAAATCGGGTGAGAAATGCGGCCTGGGCGAGGTAACAACGCCCACGAGAGACACACAGACAGACAACATGAGAAAATATAGATAGATAGATAGATAGATAGATAGATAGATAGATAGATATTGTAGAACAGGTATATTGACCTTGACTTGCATAAAAATACATATGCTGTTTGGTTCATAGTTAGTAAAGGTTGCCGACCCCTGATATAGATGATTTGGGCTCCAGATATCTTCTATATGTTTTTGCCTCTTTTGGATCTTGCATTTTTTTTTTTGATTTTGTGGAAGATTAAAACCGAATTCTCATTGCATATTTATGGGCTACCTTTACTTTTTTATGCTCTATCACACGTAGTAACATCCAATCCTGTCTAGCTTCAAGAGACTTATAAAATTCAATTGTTGAAATGCTGTAAGTCAATTCGATATTATTATTATTATTATTATTTTTATTTTCTTTGATTTCTGGCGTTTACATTTCTTTCCGGGTCCCGCCCAGGGACCTAAGATTAGAAATGGCGTCATGACACTTTCCACTGACAAAAAAAAAAAAAAAAAAAAAAAGATTACATAGATAAAGCCCTTCGTAAGGTGTGGGCTGTACTTGTCAGAACAATTTTCTGTATCTCCTTGAGGCATGGACTTCCAGGAATCCCTTCAATTAGTCTACTGGAATCTTTTCCAACCAGTCCTAGAGCTCCAACTACAACAGGGATTGTTGATGTTCCCATATGCCACATTTTCGCGATTTCTATTTCAAGGTCCTTGTACTTTGACAACTTTTTGAATATCTTCAAAGATACATTGCAGTCGGCAGGACTGCCATATCAATAAGGAGGCATCGTTTTTTGTTTGTGGTCTTTAATAACAATATCTCATGGTTGGCCTTGATTGTTCTGTCAGTGTGTATTGTGTAGTCCCATAGAATTGTAACAGGTCCTATCTCCGTAACCGGGTCTGGGTGGTGTTCATACCAGTTTCTTTCAGTTTTCTTCCCTTAGAAGTTGCAGATTTTCCAGTGCAGATATTGGCCCACTCTGTCCTGTCGGGTTTTATATTCAGTGGGTGCCAACACCGTACAACCTGCTACAAGATGATCAATCGTTTCTGGATATTTATCACAGAATCTGCATTTTGGGCTGACACAATATTTTTATTATTATTATTATTATTATTATTATTATTATTTCGACTTCTGCTATGGTCACACTACCTACAAAGTCTACGGGAAGACCTACAGCAAGTTGTGGTGTGTTGTTATGACCACATTTCCTGATTTGTTTTTCTATCTGCCATAACATCACTAGCATTACATGGACAAAGTTCTCAGTGATTGGGCGGTACTAACCAAGACAGTTTTTTTTGTATTTATCTTAAGCTGGAATTTCCAAGGATTTTTTTCAATGTGTTTCTTTTTTAGCATTCCAAGAGCACCTATGATAACTGGTAATAATCTTGTTTTTAATTTCCGCATCTATTGTTTAATATTTTCTATTTATTATTATCATTATTTTGATTTCCTTTGATTTCTGGCGTTTACACATTTATTATTATTATTATTATTATTATTATTATTATTATTATCATTATTATTATTATTGTCATCATCATCATCATTCGATTTCTGCTATGGACACACTACCTACCAAGTCTGCGGAAAGACCTAAGGCAGGTCGTGGTGTGTTGTTATGGCCACATTTCATGTTAATTTTTTTTTTTTTTTTTTTTTTATCTCCGGTGAAGTTGCTAGCGTTACATAGACAAAGTTCTCCTTAGTGTGTGCTGTACTTAATAAGACAATTTTCTGTATGTCTCTTAAGCTGGGGTTTCAGGATTCTTTCAATGTGTTGTTTTGTTCCATTTTTATAATTCCAAGTGCACCTATTACCACTGGTATTATTCTTTGTTTTCAATTTCCACATTTTTCTATTTCAATTTCAGGTCTTTGTATTTTGATAGTTTTTTCAAATTCCTTGGTTGCTATGTTACAATCCGCTGGACAAGCCATATCAATTAGTAGGCAAGTTTTTTTCTTTCTGGTTTTGACAATAATGTCCGGCCTATTTGCTTCAATTTTTCTGTCTGTGTGGATGGTATAATCCCATAGAATGGTGACATCTTCTATTTCTGTAACCGGCGCTGGCTGATGTTCATACCAGTGTTTGCTTACACATTTTCCAAAGTGTTTGCACATTGTCCAGTGTAAGTATTGCCCCACACTATCTTATTATCATTATTATTATTATTATTATTATTATTATTATTATTATCATCATTATTATTATTATTATCATTATTATTATTATTATCATTATCATTATTATTATTATTATCATTATTATTATTATTATTTATTATTATTATTATTATTATTATTATATATTATTATTATTATTATTATTATTATTATTATTATTATTATTATTATTATTATTATTATTATTATCATTATTATTATTATTATTATTATTATTATTATTATTCCTTTTGGTTTGTGATATATACTCGTTTATTTCAGGGTCCCGACATTTTTCACTGAGCAGTTTTGAAAAAAAATAAATCACACATATTTTACATAGATAAAGCCCTTCGTAAGATCCAGTTGTTGAAATGTTATAAGACAATTCCAGATGATGATGATGATGATCATCATCATCATCATCGATTTTCGATTTTTGCTATGGTCACATGACCTACCGAGTCTGCGGCAAGACCTAAGGCAGGCATTGGTGTCTTGTTATGGCTACATTTAGAGATTTGTTTTTCTCATTCCCATAACATCATTACAGTGACAAAGTTCTTCTTAGTGTGTGTGTGTGTGTTGTACTTAGCAAGACAATTTTGTATTTCTCTTATGCTTTGATTTCCAGTTATTTTTCAATGCGTTGTTGTGTTCCTTTTTTACCATTCCAAGAGCACCTACAATGGTTGATATTATTCTTTTTTTCAATTTCCACATTTCGTCTGTTGTTTTCTATTTATTATTATTATTATTATTATTATTATTATTCCTTTTGGTTTGTGGTATATACTCATTTCTTTCCGGGTTCCGACATTTGAAAAAAATAAATCACACATATTTTACATAGATAAAGCCCTTCGTAAGATCCATTTGTTGAAATGTTATTAGGCATATATTAATTTCTTTCCGGGTTCCGACCAGAGACCTAAGGTCAGAAATTGCATCATAACATTTTTCACTGAGCAGTTTTGAAAAAAATCACGCATATTTTACATAGAAAATCCTCCGTAAGGTGTGGGCTTTACTTGTGAGTACAGAGTTTTTTTTGTGTTTCTTTAAGGCATGGTCTACCAGGAATTTATTCAATGCGTCTATTGGAATCTTTTCCAATCAATCCGAGGGATCAAACTACAACAGGGATTGTTGATGTTCCCATATGCCACATTTTCGAGATTTCTATTTCAAGTTCCTTGTATTTTGATAGCTTTTTGAATATCTTCAAAGATACATTGCAGTCTGCAGTGACTGCCATATCAATAAGGAAGCACATTTTGTCTTTACTGTCTCTAATCACGATGTCAGGGCGATTAGCTTTGATTATTCTGTCCGTGTGTATTTTTAAAGCCCCATAAAATTATTATTATGATGATGATGATGATTATGATTATTATTTCTCACCACATAAGAGAAAAGCGTTATTTTTAAAAAAAACATTGCTTAACAACATTAAACAATATTTCAACAGAGTGTCTCTTCTTCAAGTTATGTTTCAATGTATTGGTTACAGCATTTTGATCTGTGCTGTTATGTAAGATATAAGCTTGGTAGTTACGTGTAAGCCGTCTCTGGTCCTGCGCCGAAATAATAAACCAGTCTCAACCTTAACACCTGAAGTCTATTATAGCTTGCGAATTGATCTACATCAACATTTTTCCTTCGGCGAAGGAACTGGCAACGTCGAGGCTTTTGTCTCCAGATGTCTTCTGTCTTTTAACCTGGCTTTTTCGATTCTTGTTTCACTTTTCTTGCTTTTTTTGTTGCAGTTTCATCTACTTCATCGTTATATTCAAGATATGACCCTTGACTCTTGCCTACCCATGGACTTCTTCTTAATATAGAATAAAGCTTTTTACTATTTTTCATGCTCCATTAAGAGTTGCAACATCCAATCTTGAATAGCTGCAAGATACTTATAAGGCGCCATTGTTGAAAATTTATAAGACAATTCCAGTTGAATCATACTGCTACCCTCACTGCTCTTTGGTGGATAAAAACAATTATCATCTGCCTTAGAATGCTGGATAAATTTTCTTTAATTTCCTTTAAGTTATAATGTCTTACGTTGAAGCCATAACTTACAGCTGGGGTAACAAGAGTTTTAATGGCCGCTAATATAATTTTCGAATTCAATTCAGTTTTCATTCTTACCCCCACTCACCTGATGCATTTCTTTGTGGATTCTTTTTCTTCCATCTTCGATTGCAGTATTTTGTTGGCTTCATTCACACCCAGATATTTGTAACCAATTTTCTGGTCGAGTTCCTTAATCAAAGAATCTACATCAAGAATTATAATCTCGCTAATAATAAGATTTCATCTCTTGAAATTGGCCTTGGAACATTTATCTAGCGCAGTGATTCTCAATCGCCGTATCGTGAAATATTGTCACGGCATAGATGTGTGTGTCTGCGTGTGTGTGTGTAGAAGTAGTAATGGTTTCACACTTGATACATTTTAGATTTCAATACAAAAGGAATATACCACATTAGCTAAAAAGGTTTTATCAGTTATATTGCAATATTCTATTTCTTATTTATGTGAATTACGCTTATCAACCGTAAATAACATAAAAAATAAGAAGCGAGAAAGACTACACTCAACTGAAGAAGAAATGCGGGTCTGCTTATCGCATATTCGACCAAACATTGAAGAAATCTAAAAAAAAAAAAAAAAAAAACAAAATAAAAAAAAAACAGGTACAGGTTTCAGACTACGTAAGTGAATAAAATGGATTGGACTGGAATTCGAACTAGGCTCTCCCATTCCTCAACCTGAGTCGCTATCTACTGTGTCTTGGATTTCAATACAAAAGGAATATCCCTTATTGGCTATAAAGACTTTATCAGTTTTATTGCAATTTTCTACTTCTTATTTATGTGAATTACGCTTCTCAATCGTAAATAACCTCAAAAATAAGAAGCTAGAAAGACTACACTC